AGGGCGCATTCGAGCACCGTTAAATTTGCCGTAGGAAATATGCAGACAAGATATAACCCCGTTGTTCCGGGGAATCTCTCACAGTAGCTGTATCCTCGTACGTTCTGCAAACGCGTCTTTGGTGAATTTTCAGAATTATGGTGGTCATATTTCCAGTAAACTTAAAAGTTCGGTATACAAAGTTCATTTTCATTGCGATAACCTGTGGCTTAAAGTTTCATCAGAACCACTGTCATGGTATTCGTTAATTGCCAAATCAGTCATGATCTGCGTTCTTACTAAACTATTGCTTAAACTATTAAATACTGAATAATTATTAAACAATAAAATACAGTCGAATATATTTAGACTCAGGTGATAATCTGTATTGCTTGGCTGCAACGGTTCGCATTGAGACAATGATTTGAATCGCTTTTCGTTTTATGCCATGAGATCCTTGAAAATGACAAGCAGGAATGAGACAGAATTCGCAGAACTTTGCCAAATCAGCACATGGCAAGGAGTTAAGAAAATGCTTCACTTATAGTTCATGTTTCACAGGGTGCCAGGTTTTTAACCTTACTGTATTTTAGCATCTACAATAACAGTAGTGACTGTCTTAACATGTGTACCTGTAGCTACTCGACGTCGAACGCGGCTTCCGAATTTCTGTCACCAAGCAGCGTAAAGTATGGCTCAGTGGTGTTGCGTATTAGTGCCGCTGCATTCGTTGCTGTCATAGTCCGTAATCCGCTATGTGACTGAATCTGTTTGTGGCAGATAGTTTCTTGCATATGTGTTAATTGATTAATCTGTGCATGATTACAAGCTAAGAGGTTATCCATAGTGCCAAACACGTTGTCTGTTTTAAGACAGTGTGATCATCGCTGGTATTTTTCTTAGTCGCCAACATTAGTCATGAGTTCTGAAACGATTGCGTAACGGAACAGTAGTATTCAAGGCTTGCCATACCAGTTCATGTCTTTATGCCAAACCCATCAACATGGATGACTGTATAAATATGAACGGTTCAAATTCTAACCCTTCGATTGATGCCTACCATTCTTAATAATCCCCAAAGAATTAGTTACGGTTTTTGATTATTACATTACGAACACCTTCCTGGAGCATCTAAGCGTGCATCAGCATATCTGGTGCAGATGTGCACAGATGTCGATGACCGATTTGACAATCTCGTCATTTAGCTGGATGTTCGCGCTAGAAGAGGCACAGAGCTGTCAATTGACCACCGCGTTGTTGTTGACACCTTCGACTATAAGCAGTAGAGTACAATGGGAAAACCTTATGGCAGAAACAGCCAGAGAATCGAACGGGAAACATGATCTTCCGTGGATACAAGGGAAAACTTGCAAACAACGTCGCACGACGGGTTCAACAGATACCAGTGATGACAACTGATGTGGAAACCGAGTGGTGGCCCTTTAAGAGCGGAATACTCGAGGCTGCAGCCGAATGCTGCGGATTTGCACGGGTTGGCCTGCCGCATTGAGGTCAGAAAAGATGTTCATGGTAGACACGAGGGGTACAACTGACAGTTGCGGAGAGGAAGGCTGTATTCAAGAAATGGCCTGGAAGCAAGATGTGGGAAGAAGGGCAGTCGAAGAATACTAAAGGACAAGTGAGAATGCCTTTTTACCAAAGGATGAGGACAGTGCTAAAATGACCTACTTATCACTGAGCAACCGCAGGAAATCTTTTCAGAACGGCACTAGGCAGCGGATATTAATCTTATCTCAGTAGATGAAGCCACGTGTTGTAAAAGCTTGGAAAGTGACGAGGCTGCTGTAGTCGATGGAATCCTTCCTGAAATGCTTCAGACATTAGGCGAACAAGGAATCTTGTGGCTTACACGTGTCTGTCAAGCTGCTATGCTTATCGGAAAAACACAGGTGAACTGAACAGTGGGAGTGTGGTACACTTCTTCAAGAAAAGGACGACCAGAGGGAGTGTTTCGATTTTCTGGGCATTACGTTATTGAGCCTACCGGGCAAGGTCTTCGCCAAGGTGTTAAATAGGCGTTTCCGCGAAATTACTGACTCCAAGCCGTGTGGCTTCAGATCAAGTCAAGATACGTCTGATATCGAAAGATTTTTGCCTTATCCCAGGTAGTTGAGAAATCGTACAAGTTCCTTCATTTGGTTTACATGTGTTTTTGGACCAGGAGAAAGCTTATAACCAGATCTCGGCAACAAGTCATGGGTGTGCCTGTAGATATATGGGATCGACGGCCATTTGCTATGAGCTAGCAAATTTATGTTATGTCCAGTCACTATATGATGATGACAGGAGCTGTGTCAGAATAAATGGAATTAAATCAGCATCGGCACTGGTCTCAGCCAAGGCTGCATTCTCTTCCATCTTATGTTTGTGTTTTTCATAAAAAATATAATCAGACAGGTATGGCGAGGAGATGTTCAGACGAGACGGTTGCTATTCGCAGGCGACTTTGTTTTGTTGTGTCTTCTGAAACTGTTCTACAGTACTCTTACGAAGGTTCGAAATCGAGTGCGACGTAGCCGGTATGCGTGCGAACGTGTCCAGAAATAAAAGGCCTGGTGCTTTCTCATTCTCCTGTCCGTTGCATTCCGCAGATTCGTTCCGGAGAAGCATTGGAACAGGTTGAACAGTTAACGTCCGTCACTGATGTGTTTACCAGTGATATAAGGACGAGGTCGACCGGCGGCATCGTGTGTGAATTCGGGTAAATCGTTGTGGAGCTGTCGCAGTGTTGAGTCTGAACACTGAGCTCTCTGCGTTGAAGTCGATCTTCCTCCTGATGCTCATCTATAATCCTGAATCGTGGACCACGGCTGAAAAACCCGGACTCTGGTACAGGAGGCCAAAGTGGGCTTGTTGAGACAAATCGCCTGGCTGATGCTTCTCGACCTAGTCGGTGAGACAGATATCCGAGACAGCCTTGCTGAAGAACCGCTGCTTCTCAAGATCAAGACTGGAGAGTCAACGTTGCAATGTGTTGGGGCATGTCTTGCAAATGCTTTCTCAAAGAAAAGCGTATCGGCCAAAACTTACTAAATCAACAGCCCAAGGACCGCGGGGGGGGAGGGGGCAAAGAATACCCTGGTGTAAAATTTCTAGACAGACTTTGCTCAAGACTCGAATTATCTTCTGCTGAGGCTCCTCAGACTCTGGTGCAAGATTGCGAAAGTTGGAGACATTGTCTGACGCGTCTGTCTTCGTGACCCAGCTGTATACGCGGTCATCGAAACCTGCTGACTGACTGACTGACCATGCCGCTTCAGTTAAGAAGTTCTGGCAAGTGGTTCGTAGTAATTGCACTCAAATTTATAACTTGGTTCTTCATTCAGCTTAACTGTAAGCGTTAACCTTGAGGTTGTTTTATTGGTAATTCTATTGAGGTTATGCGTTTGTTCTTGCTCTGATGTCATTTGCTCGACTATCACTGACTAAACGATAATTTCAG